GGTGAATGACTGCTGGAGGGGACAATTTGCATATTAGGCTTTTATTATATAGGATAACTTGGTCTTTGGGTGTCTCCCTGTAGAGAATAATTTTGATGAGAAGAGGTGGGACCTGTCTGTCTTGTTCACCTCTATTTTCTCCGTTCCTAGCACATAGTTGGCACGCAGAAACTATTTGCTAAATTATTGAAAGATCAGCCAGCTAGCAAGGGAAGGGGTGGAGGCAGGATTTAAACCCAAGTCTCTGGTGGTGTCTTTTATACTATGATACCTTCTATTTTATGCATTTAAAACAGCTCCTATATTTTTTCTTTTCTTCCATGTGTTTCTGAACTATGGAGCAGAAGTTTGAGTTGAGTATCAGAAAAGGGGGTCAGAGTAAGCCATGACCTTTTTTTTTTTAATCCTCACCTGAGGATATTTTTACATGGGTTTTTAGAGAGTGGAAGGGAGAGAGAGAAACATTGATGTGAGAGAGATACATAGATTGGTTGCCTTTGCACATGCCCCAATCAGAGCTGGGGATCAAGCCTGCAACCTACGTACATGCCCTTGACCGAAATCGAACCCAGGATCCTTCAGTCCCCAGGCCGACGTTCTTTCCGCTGAGCCAAACCAGCTGGGGCGAGACATGACCTTTTAATGCAACTACACGATCATACATAGGTCCGCAGGCCTTGTGCACATACCCTCGTGAGGCTGCCACTGCTGTAGATGACTCATATGTGCTGGGAAAGGAGCCTCTGGACCCAGACTGCGGATGTAACTCTGGGAAATCCAAGCAGAGCCCCTGCCCTGGGCCTGGCTAAACTCTCTTCTACTTCTCTCTCCTAGAGCCCGGACCTGGCTTTCCCCCTAGGAAGGGAAGTGGTCAACTGCAACAGCTGAAACACTGCCCTAGAGGAACCAAAATCAGCAGAGGTAGCCTTCTCTCTTCCCACTGGGCATAGTCCAAACTGGTCACTGCCCCGGCCTGATGCCAGCTGATCTGGGGAATAAGCAGGCCCAGGCCCAAGGGCCATGCTTAGCTCTTCCTCAGAATGTCCCCCAAAGGTGGGACATTCGGAAAGCTCCTGGGACAATGACTGACACATACTTAAGTAAACAGAGCTTTCTCCATGGTAAGAAATGTGAAGGATGGGCACTGGGGGAGACACCCTTGTGCAAGAGAACTGGGTTGACATTGCCCCAAACCTAGAAAACAAAACCTTCCTGATCTTTCTTGTGCCATGGATCCTCTTCTGGGGATAATGTTTTAAATGCATAAAATAGAATGTATCATAGTACAAAAGACACCACCAGTTATCTTGAAGTTATTGAATTATTTAAAATATTGTGATAAAGTAATATGTGAAATTCTTTGTTAACATATCTATATATATAAAAGCCTAAGCGACCGACCGTTCTACCGGTAGCTATAATGCGCACTGACCACCATGGGGCAGATGCTCAATGCACAGGCAGGGAAACATGGACCAGATTGATGAATCTCAGAGGAAGGGGAGAGGGGAGAGGATGGGAAGAGATTAACCAAAGATCTTACATACATCCTAGAGGTCCGATGCACAACAGATTTGTGCACCAGTGGGGTCCCTTGGCCTGGCCTGCGGGGGTGAGGCCAAAACCAGCTCTCTGACATCCCCCAAGGGGTCCTGGATTTCGAGAGGGCACAGGCCAGGCCAAGGGACCCCACCAGTGCAAGAAGTCTGTGCACCAGGCCTCTAGTTAAACTATAAGAACTAAGACCTG